GCGGCCTGCCCTATTACTGGAACGTGGACACGGACCTGGTGTCGTGGCTGTCCCCGAACGACCCCAACTCCGTCATCACCAAACCCGCCAAGAGGCTCAAGGGGAACCCAGGTGAGGCCGCCGCCAGGGACCCCCCAAAAACCTCCCCCGAGGGGCAATTTGGGGTCCCCTAAAACCCCCCCAAAACCCCCCCCCCGAGGGGCAATTTGGGGTCCCCTAAAACCCCCCCAAAACCCCCCCGCGCGCCCCCCCAGAGGCCGAGGAGCCCCCGGAGCGGAGCCACGAGAAGGAGGAGCCGCGCGAGCGCCGCTTCCACCGGCGCGAGGAGCACGGGCCCTACCCCAAGGGCAAGAAAGGTGAGAGGGGCGACGAAATTCGGCCACGGGGGGGGGGTCCCAAAAGGATTTTTGGGGCGCCGCACCCCCAAAGCCCGACCCGTCGCGACCCCTCCCCTGTGCCCCCCAGGCGGCCGCAAGGACGAGGAGCTGGACCCCATGGACCCCAGCGCGTACTCGGACGCGCCCCGGTACGGCTCGGGGGGGAGATTTTATTTTTATTTTATTTTTATTTTTATTTTATTTTTATTTTGGGGGGTCCCCCGGCACTGCGGGGTTTTGGGGTGACCCCTCCCGGCCGTGTCCCCGCAGGGGCACCTGGTCCACGGGGCTCCCCAAACGCAACGAGGCCAAGACGGGCGCGGACACGACGGCGGCCGGGCCCCTGTTCCAGCAGCGGCCGTACCCGAGCCCCGGGGCCGTGCTGAGAGCCAACGCCGAGGCCTCCCGGGGCAAGGACTGAGCCCAGCCGGCACCGGGAACCCGAACCGGCACCGGGAATACCCGAACCGGTACTGGGAAAACCCGAACCGGCACCGGGAACCCGAACCGGTACTGGGAAACCCGAACCGGCACCGGGAATACCCGAACCGGCACCGGGAATACCCGAACCGGTACTGGGAATACCCGAACCGGCACCGGGAAACCCCGAACTGCCTCCAGGAACCCCCAAACCAACATCGGGAACCCCCAAAACCGGCACCGGGAAACCCCAAACTGCCTCCAGGAACCCCCAAAACCGGCACCGGGAAAACCGAACCGGTACCGGGAACCCGAACCGGCACCGGGAATACCCGAACCGGCACCGGGAACCCGAACCGGCACCGGGAAACCCCAAACTGCCTCCAGGAACCCCCAAACCAACATCGGGAACCCCCAAAACCGGCACCGGGAATCCCGAACCGGCACCGGGAACCCGAAACCGGCACCGGGAAAACCCGAACCGGTACTGGGAAACCGAACCGGCACCGGGAATACCCGAACCGGCACCGGGAAAACCCGAACCGGTACTGGGAAACCGAACCGGCACCGGGAATCCCCGAACCGGCACCGGGAAACCCCAAACTGCCTCC